CAGAACTCCCAAATTCTCTTTTGCAACCTACACATTTTCTGTAATTTAGAATCATGTATGTTAATGTTTTTCAATTTTTTATGGACTTTAACTACCAGAACTGGCTGGAAAATGTTGGGAGTTGAAATCCACACTAATATAGATTGCCAAATTTGGAAAAGAAAGCACCTGATGTATATCAATGTCATTCAGATGTTTTGTGAGGTTACTGCAATGTTGGCTCTATAAGCTATTGTTAAATAATGAAACACTGGGAATCTGCAAATGTGTAGTTATACATTATAAACAGAATGCAAAATAGACTAATCTCAGTGGAGAACTCTGATGAATGAAAAAATTTGGCCTCTAGCACTGAAATTTAGTATCAGAGGAAGTACTTTATAATTATGAATAATTAAAAGCCCTTGTAGCAATGAATAATTGGCTGACAGCTGTACATATTTTCCATTCAGACAGAACTGATTAGACACACAGACACAGAGAGTATCTGTGCCGATTTGTGTGTAACATGTTTACAGAGACAGCAACCTGAAACAAGTAATGTTTTGCTAAGGTTGAAGTAGACAAAAACCAGGAAATCTAAATACAAGTAACATGTGGAAGTACTGAAGTGTTATCAGACTGAAAGTGAATGAACTGTAATTTAAGCCCTCAAAGATAAAAAATTATATGGGAAGATTGTTCTGTGAACAGGGAGACATAACTTACATTACACTTCATAGCTGTTTGTCTTAAAAGGGCTTGAGAAAATACAGTATGTAATACTAGGATTGTGCATAGCACTTAGAAAAGGTCTTTTGCAATGTGTAGGAGCACAAAAGGAGCATCTCTTCAAAACACACACACACACACACACACACACACACACACACACACACATTTGCTGCTCCTACAGGTAGAAAATATATCATCATGATGCCATGGCATGGGTAGATGGGATTTAATTAAGATCATCTCACTTTCTTTCTCTAGCTTCTGCTCAATATTTTTTTATAATAAGCAGAATTATAAAAGAAGAAAATTGGGACTCTGTGTTAATAAAAGACTGCAACATTGCAAGCATATTGACTTATGAGTATTCAAAGATCACATTATAGGTTTACAAAACTAAAAAGTATTTATTCTCAGAAATTGGATTTGCTATAAAAATACGTGAAGCCTGCATATATGAATATATAAATAAGACTGAATGTTAATTTCTTACACTTACGGCATATTTTCTTCTTCACTTGACAAGTTGCATTGTTTCTTCAACTTCCAAAGAGTGCTAAAGCTTATATTCACAAACTCCATTGCCTGGCATAATATAAAATATTAATCAAACAGAACTTCTCTGTCCAAATTCATCATTACTTCACCCTACTGTATTGCCAAGGCCGCCAAACTGATCTAAAACTCTAAAACCTGAGTTAACTGGCAAGAAAATTGAAAAACAAAATCATCCAATGAGAATGCTTGCCAGGTGAAAAGACAGATGGCAGCTGCATGGCAATGGAGCTCGTACAAGGCTGCTACAGGCACAGTCCCTCTGGCATGGGCACAGCTGTGGCTGCAGCTGGACCATATCAGTAGAAGACCTCTCACCCAGCATCGCTTCATTGCCATGCAACGTGCTTTGTAAAGTGAATTCTTTTTGTTCACCAAAATAGATCTTATTTAGCTGATAAACTGACATAAATTTTAAAAAAATCATTCCAAAATGTTGTGGCCCAACACTATACTTACACTATGAAAGTATTTTAAATAAAACCAAAAAATTATGTTAAGTTTTTGTCATGTCTTGGTTCATGTGCATTATGTCTTTGAAGAACATAGTGAAGTTATCTCTAGCTGTTTGGAGATGGGTGAGGATGACTACCTCTATACTGACAAATGTGTTTGTGTGTGTGTGTGCGTGCGTGCGTGCGCGTGCTGTTGAGTCAGTGTTGATTCCTAGTGACTGCCTGGACAAATCCCTAGTTTTTTTGATACTATTTTGGTAGTGGTTTGCCATTGCCTGTTTCCCAAGATTAAGAGTGTGACTAGCTCAAGGTCACTCAACTTTGTGCCTAAAGGAAAAGGAGAATTCAGTCTGCTGTTTTCTAGCCTGATGCTTTAACCACAATGACAAACTTGAAGATAGTATTTAGTATGCTCCAGTTGTGAAGTACATTAGGAAGGGATGGGTTATTAACTGCAAAAGTGAAGTCAAGGGAAATTGCCTTGACTTGGAAATTGCCTTGGAAATTAAACATGCCACCGAGAAACACACCAAGAAAACAGAACATCACAATGACTAATTCTTTAATCTTAACCTAAGAGGAAGAAGATTCAGAATATAGTTCCTGTTTAAACAGCATCATTTTTAAAAATCCACTGTTCAAGTAATGCTAAGGCTAAAAACAATATGCTTCATGCAAATACTTTAAAGGTCGTGTTTTTAAAACAGGATGTGGCTTTTAAAAAAGGAGAAGCCTACATAGATATGTTTTGCTCCATATCTGTGCAATTAAATGAATCCTGCAGGAGACACACATTTTCTCAGGCAGTATAACAAGAGCCTGATGAATATTGTAGCTAAAGTCTCACAACAGCTTTTGTAATATTTCCCTATAAAGATCCCTTTTTATAACCATATTGGGATTCTGTTTCATATAGAATTTATTTTCTCATAAAATCATTATTTTCAGCATTCTGATTATCTGATTTAAAATTTCCAGCCTGACTGGATTAGCTGCTCCGGGAAAACCTGGCACAGAGAATTTTGCAGCATTTCTCCTGTATTTGTAGCAGAAGGGGAAGCTTTTCAAGTATGGGAACATCCACTTCTATTCTCCTTAGAACCAAGATATCTTCCTTAAGTTGCTAAGAGATTATTTGCCTCTCTGTACCCAGAATGGCTGTCTGGTCCTTCCTTCCTTCCTTCCTTCCTTCCTTCCTTCCTTCCTTCCTTCCTTCCTTCCTTCCTTCCTTCCTTCCTTCCTTCCTTCCCTTTCATTTCATTTCATTTCATTTCTTCCTTCTTTCCTTCCTCCCTCCCTCCCTCCCTCCCTGTCTCTGCCCTCCCTTTCCTCCCAAATGTGGTAAAGGAAGAATGAATGGGACTACCAATAATTGTTTTTTTATTTTTCCCTGGCTCTAGTGCATGAATGAAAATTATACAGTAGTGGGGAGTGTACACTTGCATTCAAGTAGTCCTTAACTTACAACCATATGTTGATCAACTGTTTTAAGTTATCACAGCACTGAAAAAGTGACTTACGACCGGTTGTCACACTTATGACCATTGTAGCATCCCCACGGATACATGACCAGAATTCCCACAAGTAACATCACTGAGGGAAGGCAGATTTGCTTAAGAACCACATAGTTCATTTAATAACCAGGAAGATTCACTTAACCAATCTTAAAAAAAAAAAAAAGATTGTAAAATTGGACACAACTCACTTAATAGCCATCTCATTTAACAACTGAGATTGAATGATCATAAATCAAAGACTTTCTGTATCATCACGGAGAGGTTAAGTGGTCATTAAGTTCTTAGGAAGTAAAACTTGTGACAGTATAGGAATGCCCTTTCTAGAGTCTTTGTTAAGTCTTTTTGTTTTATCTTAATATTTATAATTAGGATTCAAAACTGAACTTAGATTGGAAACTCATGTACTCTACTGCTAGTACATGATCACTCCCATTAAAACTCTGTATCTTTAGAAACAAAATTTCCAATTTTTTTACATTTCCATCTTTATCATTTTAAAAAATATAAAACTCTTCCCTGAAACAGAAATAGTAAATCTGTAACTATGCTTTACTACATCATTTAACCAATAGTGTTTAATCTTATAGCTTTCACTTTAGGAATCATTGAAAGCCTGCTTCACACACACTTTAATAGACTCATATAGAATAATTAAATCATGTTTATCTTTAAAGTCTGGCCTGTTTGAGGCTCTTTGTCTTTTTCAAGCTTCTTCGATTCTAACAAATTAGACTTATATAATAATATAATATAATATAATATAATATAATATAATATAATATAATAATATATAATAATAATATAAACAGAAACTCGATGAATTTCTATGAAGATAAAAATATAAATTACAGATGATGAAAATGATGATGAAAAAGCATTTTATTTATTTATCACATGTATAGGAGCTACCATCTATAAACACATAAGGTTTAACTTCAACGTGACAGCTTTTTTCATATATTCAGGACAGTGGTCTGAATAAATAATTATTACTCATACATCATAAATTGCAAACTGCTTATTACTTAGTTCTTTCATTTTTTCCCCATTCATATTGAAATCACAAACATATTAGGATGTCTTATCTCATAGATATACTGATTTTGTCCTATTACTTTTAACTGTATGTCTTACAGAGTCTTCCAATTTATTACCTTCCAGATATGTTAGATTCCATTCCTACAATTCCTAACCAAGATGGCAACAAACTGCAGCAGTGGTCTCCACAAATAGTATTGCTATGATTTCACTAGAGAATTTGCTCTAGTCACTGAGATAAAATAGGAATACTATAATATATTCTGTTCACAAGCCCAACACCCCAAAGAGAAGCTACACTAAAAAAAAATACAAGAAAAAAAGTACAAGCATATATATTTATATACATACACAATTCATACTGTGGATTTCTCCGTGATTAGTTCGTCTAATTGTCCTCTTTTTTCTCCGTTCACTGTAGTCCTTTTTAAATACTTTTGCCCGGAAACTCATTGTGTTAGTAGAACCTCAAGCAGCAAAGAAATACATATTATAAAAACACAATCCTCATTCACTGATGATTATGTCTATGCTGTGAGAAGAGGAAGTATATGGACCAGTATGCTATCTCTAGAAATTGCATTAAAAAAAAAAAAGAAAAAGAAGAACCTGAAATTCAGTAATAAATCATTACTTCCTGCCTGAGTAATGTTGTGCTTCTTCAATGACAAATAAGACTGAAGCCTCAGTCACAATGTTTGCTATTACCTGTTTCATTTCTACCCACCAACCTAAGATTGAAAGAACATTATTATACTATGTAAACTTTAGCTGTTTTGAATAAGGAACTCCAGCCTGGGTAAGTGTAGAACAAAAACCTCCTCTGCTTCAACAAAGAAAATTAAAACAATTTCTTAAAGTGATTGAAAATCTTCCCTGATTAGTCAATGATATCGACTAAGATAACTTTATGAATTTTATGAGACTGCAAAGTTATAAGTTATGTGACTCTAACTCTGAACAGTTTTAGTAAATTGTCTCCCTTACTACTGCTTTTTTGCTTTACCAAGTCTCAGTGACCCAATTAACTTACTAAAATATTCTCCTGTTTTCCAATTTAAGACTAACAGTGTTCTATCTATTTTGGATGTTCAACAATTGACTATTTTTTTAAAAAAAAATGATAATGTGAAAAAACTGATATTGTGAACATTTAAGACTTATAAACCACTTAGAGTTGGCCAGTTTGAAATTATTTAAAAGTTTTTACAGGAGAGCGACCCACTTACATGTCACCATTCCAAGGAATACCAAATTGCAATACCCACTAGCCCCAATTATTTCTAATTTTCCATAGGATACTGCATGAAGTCATAACCGGATAGGCTAGCCTTTTTATCTCTTGCCTAGGCAGATAAGGTTGGCTTCAGCATTAGAGACAGTGCTTAGAAGACATTTCTGGGCTTGTAGTCCTTGACAGCCAGTCTGACAGTGTGGAAAAGTTTTTCCCCCCAGTATTCTGAATGTGAACTTTTTCCTATCTAGTTTGCAAAATTGCTATATTGAGGACAAAATAGGCACAATGTAAATTGATTTCATGCTCTGGAACAACTCAATTCCAAGCATGACATGAAGAGTTTGAATAAAGCTTAGAACATTTCTAGAATGCTGAAAATACAGGTAGTCCTCAACTTATGACCACAATTAAGCCCAAAATTGATGTTGCTAAGTGAGAAATTTGTCCCATTTTAAAACTTTTCTTGCTACATTTGTTAAATGAATTGCTGCAGTTGTTAAATCAATAACACTATTATTAAATGAATCTGGCTTTCTCATTGATTTTGCTTATCAGAAGATTTCAAAAAGGGATCACATGACCCCACGACACTGCATTCGTCATAAATAAGAGCCAGCTGTCAAGCAGCCGGATGTAAATCACATGATCATGGGGATGCTGCAACTGTCATAAGTGTGAAAAATGGTCATAAGTCATTTTTTTTCCAGTGCCGTTATAACTTTGAATGGTCTAAATGAACTATTGTTGGTCGATGACTACCTGTAGCCCCTTTCGTGTTCAATATGAGAAATTTCATTTAACCACAGATTCTTGGCTAATCATTTCTTGCTCCATTACTAACAGGTTTTAGGTGTTCATATATAACGAACAAATTTTGTATTTGATACAGATATGTATGTTGAATACACCTATTTAATTAGAAATCTTCATAAACTGCAGTTTCTATCCCCAATAGTTTAGATATTCTTATAGCAATAAAATACAGTACACAGTCTTTTGATAAACTGAAGAGCATCTGTAAATTTAGTCTGAAGAAATAGAAGTACAACAGGGAGGATAATAATTTCTCCCTATAAACTTCTGAGTGTCTCAAATTGAGGTTCAGTAATGATCCAATATGAAATAGAGCAGAGTTTCCACCAAGAATTGGCTTCAATGCAACCAACAACCATTTGGTCAAGTCTAATTATGGCTGGTTTCGTTTTGTACCAGTATTTTCTGTACTGTGCTTTTTTGTCTGACTGTGATCCTCTAACACTGCACCTAGAGAAAGTGTGGGATAGTCTGCTCTCTGCCTTTCTCCACCTTAACCACCACTGTCAGCTCTGTCTTGTATAATGAAACTTCATCTGTGGCTATAGGCTATTGCCTATAATGCCTAGTTTCCAGGAAAGTGGGGAAAGAAAGTTGTTAAATTATAGAGCAGCTCAGAAGCCGTTCTTTTAGTTGTAAATTGAGGTTGGTTTTTTTTTTGTTTATTAGATTAGGGTAGGGTTGATATTTTGTATACTGAGAGAAAGCAATATTGAAAGGGTGGAGTTCAGAAAAAGAATCAAGCTTTAAAACATATTTATTTTCCTTTGATGGTGGATTCATAATGAAAGAATTAAAAACAATTGAAAGGGCAGATACATTAACCATTTTTAAATTCAGAATAAATTTGCTTTTGATATTTTTCCCTTAATAGCCACAATTGGAAGTAAGCTTTCTTCCATTTTCTTCATTAAAATATTAGTTGGCCGAGTGGTTCCAGAAAGACACCTGAAACACAAAGAAGCAATTACAAAAGCTCTGGAGAATGACAGATTTCAATGATATGCCTTTCCGATAAACAAAATGAGTAGCTGTTAAACAGGGATATTTTGTTTCAGCAGTTTTGCATGTATAGAATAGTGCTTACGAGGCCAAAAATATGCCAAAGAAAGATCAACTTTTATTCTCAACAACTTATTGGTTACTTCTTTAGTGATTGAAAAAGAATTGAGGACAATGAGAGTAAGTCTCATTTCTCAGATTGCACCTTGGGATGCGCAGAACTCCCAGCAAAATCCTCCACTTTAAAAAAGTGTTTTTCAATCTTGTCAGCTTTAAGATGTGTAGATTTCAACTCTCAGAATTTCTCAAGAGTTGAAGTCCACGCATCTCAAAGTTGCTGAGTTTGGGAAAGCTGCTCTTAAATATTCCCAAAGGTTACCTGTGCAGTTCTGACTCAGAATCTATCAGTGTGAATCAAAGAGATACAAAGAAGAAAGAATTCAATTAAAATTACATTTATTTTTCATCCTTCTTTACAACGAATACTTAATTATTATTATTTTAAAAGGGGAGGGCTTTAAAATTGTCTAGGGATCTTCTGACTTGTGAAGAAGATGCCATTCCATAAACTACTACACAAAAATTAATCTGACTCAAAAGAGAATCTATTTAGCCCAGACAATAATAGCTGATCTGTATCTCCACAAAATAGTTTTGATGTCAACGCTGCTAATATTGAATATTCTTGCTTTGACAAAATATGCAGAACTGTCTGGTATTTTTAGAGTTAATTCAGATGACATTGGGTGGGGAGGAAAAAGAATGTGTAGAGAGAGTAATTATGTGGGCTTCAGAATGGAAGTGAACCTTTGCCCCCCAGGCTAATTGGAGAACGTGAATTATGACAGCAAAATAAGGGAGGGAAAATGCTAGCAAAATAACTGCTCTGGAGTGGAGATTTCAGATCTTGGCATCCTTAGCTTGCCCTGCTGACATTTTGTAACATGATTAAAGACTTTTTAGGATAAACAATCCAAGGCAAACCATTCAATATCACAATAGTCCAAATCTATGCCCCAACCACTGGTGCTGAAGAGGATGAAATTGACCAGTTTTATGAAGCCCTACAGCACCTTATAGAACTAACAACAAAAAATGATGTCCTTATCATCATGGGGGATTGGAAGGCTAAGGTAGGAAGCCAAAAGATAACCGGAATAACAGGCAAGTTTGGCCTTGGAGTACAAAATGAAGCAGAGCACAGGCTAATAGAATTTTGTCAAGAGAATACGATGGTCATAACAAACACTCTTTTCCAACAACCCAAGAGACGGCTCTACACATGGACATCACCAGATGGTCAACATAGAAATCAGATTGACTATGTGCTCTGCAGCCAAAGATGGAGAAGCTGTATACAATCAGTAAAAACAAGACCAGGAGCTGACTGTGGCTCAGATCATGAGCTTCTCATTGCAAAATTTAGGCTTAAATTGAAAAAAGTAGGGAAAAGCAATAGGCCACTCAGGTATGAACTAAATCATATTCCTGATGAATATACAGTAGAGGTGACAAATAGATTTAAGGAACTGGATCTGATAGACAGAGTGCCTGAAGAAATATGGATGGAAGTTCGCAACATTGTACAAGAGGTAGCAACTAAAACCATCCCAAAGAAAAAGAAATGCAAGAAAGCAAAATGGCTGTCTGAGGAAGCTTTGCAAATAGCTGGGGAAAGAAGGGAAGCGAAAGGCAAGGGAGAAAGATACACCCAATTGAATGCAGAATTCCAGAGAGTAGCTAGAAGAGATAAGAATGCCTTCTTAAATGAACAGTGCAAAGAAATAAAAGAAAACAACAGAATAGGGAGGACCAGAGATCTCTTCAAGAAAATTGGAGATATGAAGGGAACATTTCATGCAAAAATGGGCATGATAAAGGACCAAAATGGCAGAGACCTAACAGAGGCAGAAGAGATTAAGAAGAGATGGCAAAACTACACAGAAGAACTATACAAGAATGAGCTTAACATCCCAGATAACCACAATGAGATGGTCACTGACCTCGAACCAGACATCTTAGAATGTGAAGTGAAATGAGCCTTAGAAAATCTGAGCAACAACAAAGCTAGTGGAGGTGACCGTATTCCAGCTGAGCTATTCAAAATCTTAAAAGACGATGCAGTAAAAGTGCTACACTCAATTTGCCAGCAAATTTGGAAAACTCAACAGTGGCCACAGGATTGGAAAAGGTCAGTTTACATTCCAATTCCAAAGAAAGGCAATGCCAAAGACTGTTCAAACTATCGCACCATTGCACTCATCTCACATGCTAGTAAAGTTATGCTTAAAATCCTACAAGCTAGACTCCAGCAGTATGTAGGAGAATGTATGTACGAGAACTACCAGAAGTACAGGCAGGATTTCGAAGAGGCAGAGGAACTAGAGATCAAATTGCCAACATACGCTGGATCATGGAGAAAGCTAGGGAGCTCCAGAAAAACATCTACTTCTGCTTCATTGACTATGCTAAAGCCTTTGATTGTATGGATCACAACAAATTGTGGCAAGTTCTTAAAGAGATGGGAATACCAGACCATCTTATTTGTCTCTTGAGAAACCTATACGCGGGTCAAGAAGCAACAGTGAGAACCGGACACGGAACCACTGATTGGTTCAAAATTGGAAAAGGAGTCCGGCAAGGCTGTATACTGTCGCCCTGCCTATTTAACTTATTTGCAGAGCACATCATGAGAAAGGCAGGGCTAGATGAATCAAAAGTTGGAATTAAGATTGCCGGGAGAAATATCAACAACCTAAGATATGCAGATGATACACTCTAATGGCAGAAAGTGAAGAGGAACTAAAGAGCCTCTTGATGCGGGTGAAGAAGGAGAGTGCAAAAGTTGGCTTGAAACTCAACATTAAGAAAACCAAAATCATGGCATCCAGCCCTCTCAATTCCTGGCAAATAGATGGGGGAGAAATGGAGGTAGTGACAGATTTTATTTTTCTGGGCTCCAAGATTACCTCAGATGGGGACTGCAGCCAAGAAATTAAAAGACGCTTGCTCCTGGGGAGGAAAGCTATGGCAAATTTAGACAGCATTCTAAAAAGCAGAGACATCACCCTGCCAACAAAAGTGCGTATAGTCCAGGCCATGGTTTTCCCAGTTGCAATGTATGGCTATGAAAGTTGGACCATAAGAAAGGCTGCTCTTTAGAAGGCCAGATCCTGAAGTTGAAACTCAAATACTTTGGCCACCTAATGAAAAGGAAGGACTCACTGGAAAAGGGCCTAATGCTGGGAAAGATTGAGAGCAATAGAAGAAGGGGACGACAGAGAATGAGATGGCTGGATGGAGTCACTGAAGCAGTAAGTGTGAACTTAAATGGACTCCAGAAGATGGTAAAGGACAGGAAGACCTGGAGGAACGTTGTCCATGGGGTTGCGATGGGTCGGACACGACTTCGCAATTAACAACAACAAGGATAAACAATACCTGGAAGTTCTTTGAAGTGTTTCATTAGTTAGAACATTACATCATGCCAAGATCAACAAACTTTTCAAACCATTTATGGGGTCCCGAGCCCTAGTCGCTGTTCCTAAATTAAAGGAATAAGCTGACAAAGATTTGGGGAAGATCTCATTATGGAAGAAGAAGAGGGGGGAGTGACAGCCAGCAGGCCAGAGGAGAAGGAACTCTGGCAGATCTCCCAGCTGGAAGCAAGACCAAAGCAATTAGGAGAGCTGATTTGGTCGTCAGACTGGGATAAGTCCAGCGGAGACTTCAAAACAGCCTTGCCACCTTCAAAGACTTCAAAAGCAGAATGGTGGAGAGCTAACGAATTGCCTGCCACTCAAGTGTTGGGTGAGTCACTGGAAAGATTTCAAAACCCAGAGGTGAGAAGCAGAAATCAATTCCTGCACAGAAGAGCCTGCAGCCCTTCCATTGCAGATCAGACAGCCTTTCAGATCCTGTCTTCCCCTGAAGAGAGAGGGAATCCCAGTCTGAGGCCTCTGCAGCGATGGGGGAGATTGGCTTCCCCAGCAGGTAGATGATCAGCAACCTCTGTGCTTGCCAGAAGCCTTGCAACAGCTTGGGGTGGTGCAGAAGCCAGGAGATCAGCAGCTGGTGGGAGAACAACCACAGCAAGGAGATTGGCCACAGCCCCCAAAAGTGCAACCCCCGAGCATAAATCTGCAGCCAGGATGGGGCCAGCAGCAACAGCCACAGTGGGGACCCCAACAGCCTATAATTGCACCACTTTTCAGAGCAACCTTCGATGGGGACCCAGAGAAGATGATTTTTTTCCTCAACCAAGTACGCTCTTATTTGAATTGCTGGGCCTATCTCTACCCGGACCCAGGGGCCATGGTCGATGTGATTGTGTCCGGCCTACAGGGAGAAGCATCCGAATGGCTGAACAATTTATATAATGAGCAAGCCCCAGAATTGGAGGACTCCCACCTCTTCCTCCTAGGACTAAGAGAAAGATTTGAGGACTCATCTCTTGACCTCAAGGCAAAAGAACAAATCCACAAAATAAAACAAGAGCTCCTCACTGATCAATGGTTCAAAGATAATCAAACCTCCCTAACATGCAGGGATGGCTTGGCTTACAAAGGGGGAAAACTATATTTGCCTGAAGCCCTCCGTCTTAATGCTCTCAAACACAGCCATGATGTAAAACAGGCTGGGCACTTTGGATATCTAAAAACTCTACATCTCACCCACCAGCAATTTTGGTGGCCGGGGCTGAAACGGGATGTGGAAAACTATGTAAAAAGTTGTACTGTATATGCCACAATGAAAAGAATCCCAGGGAAAACCCCTGGGTTACTGCAGCCGGTAGCAGACCCTTTTCAACCATGGTAAGAAATAGCTATGGACTTTATATAGACCTACCTGAAAGTAGAGGAAATACTGTCATATGGACTGTGATAGACCTGTTCTCGAAGCAGGCTCATTTCATTGCCTGCAAAGGACTCCCATCTTCCCAACAACTGACCTCAAATTACCCAGTAAGAAGTTAGGACTTGGGGCCTTTCCCCATCGTAAGGATCATCAACCCCGTCACAGTAGAATTGAAACTCCCTAGGCTTTTAGGGAGGATTCACCCTGTCTTCCATTGCAGCTTGTTAAAACCTTGTAGGGGCTCCACGTTAAGGCCTCCCTCTAAGAAAGCACCTGGGCCCCTTGTAGTAGCAGGTCAGACTCACTATGAAGTGAAACATATTCTTGACTCTAGAATTTTTAAAGGGAAATTGCAGTACCTAGTACAATGGAAGGGGTACTCGCTGTACGAAGCTACTTGGGTGAAATCCAGCGATGTGAAGGCTGACCGACTCATCAAAAAGTTTCATGAGAGAAACCCAACAAACCAAGAGATAATCCCTGACATATGCTTTTGTTAAGGACTTATCCTTTTTGTAAGGGGGGGGGGGCGGGTGGATGTCAATGCAGCTAATATTGAATATTTTTGCTTTGACAAAATATGCAGAACTGTCTGGTATTTTTAGAGTTAATTCAGATGACTTTGGGTGGGGAGGAGAAAGAATGTGTAGAGAGAGTAATTACATGGGCTTCAGAACGGAAGTGAACCTTTGCCCCCCAGGCTAATTGGAGAACGTGAATTATGACAGCAAAATAAGGGAGGGAAAATGCTAGCAAAATAACTGCTCTGGGGTGGAGATTTCAGATCTTGGCATCCTTAGCTTTGTAACATGATTAAAGACTTTTTAGGATAAATAATGCTTGGAAGTTCTTTGAAGTGTTTCATTAGTCGGATCCATGACATCTAGCTTCTAATAACTCTAAATTCTAATTTATTTTTATTATGTTTTTACTGTGTTTTTAAACACCTAACTTTTTATGCTTTGAAATTGCCAAGAGTCTTTCTGTTGTATTAATATAGAAATAAAACATGACATAAAATTAATAAACACATGCTTTGTTTTTTAAAGATATTGAAACATTAGCAAAAGAGGTGGAGCTGACAGGAAATGGAAAAAGACCAGATCTTAAGAGTCTAGTCATGTGGCTCAGACCTTTAGAAATGTTGTCAAAAAACTGAAACCCCAAAGTGAGCTGAGGTCAACAAAGAGTGCTAAAAATAAAAGTTTCTTTTAGACACAGTTTGCTAAAAGAAAAGAAAAAAATGACAGATCAGCTTTAAAATGAAGAAGACGAAGTACTAACAAATAATAGTGAAAAGGCAGAACTTCCTGATACTTATATTGACTCAATCTTCTTGAACATAATATAAGTATTCTACCAGGAAATTGGGACAAAATGAAACAGATTAAAAACAAGGTAAAAGAATATCTCTTAGCATTGAATGAGTTTAATGACTATATTAATTGCATCTTATGAATATGAAGAAACTAAATGATGGTCTGGCTAAATTTCTATGTATTAGCTCTGAGAAATCCTGATGAAATGCTAGATGCCTGGAAGAATATAAGTGTTATCCCTATCTTCAAAAAAGGAAAAGTGGAACATCCAGCCACTCCAGATTCTGGAGCAGATTGTAATATTTGTGAGCACCTTCAAAATAATGCAGTAATTATTAGCATGGATTTATTGAGCAGAAATCTTGAAACATTTTCTGATTGGATAACTTCCTTAATATATTGTGGGAATACTGCAGACATAATATATATTAATTTTACAGTTATAAGTAGCAGATGATCCAGCATTGCATAGGGTTGACAGAATGAGAAGAGTTGCTTTATTGCGAGAAAAAAAAAAGTCAGAATGGGCTCTGATCTACCCAAATTTCAAAAGTATAAGCATATGCATAGTTATGGATTTTCTGAATCCCTAGGACACAGAGAGGGCTCTGCGTGCCACCTGTGGCACATGTGCCATAGGTTTGCCACCACGGCCCTAAGATTATAGCCAATTTTTTTCTGTCTAACTTTGCTAAAGTCATTGCTCAAAATTAATATTTACTTACACATCTCTATCATCAGGCACTGTTTAGCTGAGAACAACATGAACTCTGTATGTTGAGGTATCATAGGTAATAACTGAAGTCTTTGATTCATTATAAGGACCAAATAGAAGATGACTAACTTCTTGATAGCATGGAAAGCTACATCATGCTGATGAGTCCAATGACATATGACTTCTTCATCCAGTAAGTGCTGCAAAGTTCTGCTAAGCTTGCCTTGAATTTTCAGAACGATGCATTACAAATCTAAAAGCCAAGCAATCTTTTTAAAAAATCTACTTTATGTTTTGGATTTGGTACATTCTGAATGGTCTTGATCTTGACTTATAATGCGTAAATGCCTGACATATCAGTTCTTTCAGTGCAAAGCAATATGTACTATCCAAGCCTTCATAAATGTCAGGTGACTTTGGGTCAGTTGCTCTTTCACAGTTCTAGGAAACAGGCAATGGCAAACCACTTCTGAAATCTTGCCAAGAAAACTGCAGAAATTTGTCTGAACAGTTGCCAGAATTAATACTGAGTTGAAGGCAACCTTTCCCCAAAAAGCTTTAGATATATAAATGATTTATCATCAATCTTATATAATTTTCTTCAAATAATTATTTATATAATATATCAAGGTTCAACATACAACTTGAACCTTAGTGTATCAAGTTGATGTACTAAGAGATCAGGCAGTTAGAACTACATGATTTAAGTCTGGGATTTTCTTAGGTTCCAGGACAAAAAGAAAATCAAGTATTTTTGCTAAGATTCCCAGGGAATTGGCTGGCCCACAACAAATTTTTCAAAGTGACCTGATGCAACCAATTAATATACAAGCAGAATTCAATAGAGGAGATGAAGCCTTGTTCCTGGTTCATGTCACAACTTTTTTTTTGCTTCCTCATTACTAATTATTAGATATTCTGAATGCAATGTATGAGATGATTTCAATACAAAGCCAGGAGAATGAGAATTGACACCATGGCAAACAAAGGTCTTTTCCTGGGTCTCATCAGATGATGACATTTAGTAGAAAGAATCTGCCAAATCTGAGGAGATAGATACATGTAAATGGGAAGAAGAAGTCCCTTAAATATACCTGTCCTGTGGCATGTAGGGTTTAATAAGTCATTGTCAACACCTTGAATTGCACCTCGAAGAATGTTGGAATGCTGGTATGTATAGGAGGCAGTATAAAAACAGAAACAAGCAAACTCTGCTTTAATCCAGTAGTAATCAAGCCAAGCAACAACCATAACTCCTTTCAGCCTACAATTATTAACAGACTGAAGCCTAATTTTAAAATTACATTCTCATAACTTGTTTCACATTACAAATATATACAATAGCAAATTGGGTGCCTTGAGGAGCAGTTCTGGGTCTTTTATTCTTCAGGTTTTAATTAACACCTTGAATGAAGAGATGGAAGGAACATTGATCAGATTTGTAAATGAAGCAACTTTGGGTAAGACAGATAGTACTTAGAAATGAAATCCCAAACAGACTTGAGAGCTCATAGAAATGGCTTGAAAATAGCAGAATGAAATTCAAGAGAGATAAGTGCCAAGTTATTTACTTTTGATACAAAAGTCAAATGCACACAGATAGGATGTGGGTGTCAGCCATGAGGTAGACCAGAACAGGAAATCAACTCCACAGGAAGGAAAAAAATTAATTTTATTGAGAGTGGTTATAATAACATGTATCTTACAATAAGTAATCTTGAAAGTCTGATTGTGCTGGACATCTTTCTTTTTCTTATATTCCAGTGACTTAGAGAGGCATCTGTTTGAACTGCTTCCATAAGTTTTTGTACTAGATTTTAAAAATGCTTCTGTTTGTTTTGCCTAGATAATTATTCCTGCTTATCTCTATCAAGGTCATCTTCTTTACTGTGTGGGCATCTCACTTGCTAATTTGACGTGAAAATTAGCTGATTGTAAAGCAAACCTCAGCCAAGTAGAGTTTAATTAATTTATAATTTAGACACCCCCCACACACAGATATTCATAATGTGTTTGTGCATGTTCGCACATGTGTACGCACACACACACACACACATACATATATACAATTGGAATGGGAAATTATTAAAAATGCAACCAAAACAAAACAGGCAAAAGCAAAAAAAGGGGAGATCCCACAATCACCCTATTCCCCAAGGCCTAAGAGAAACAACCAGGTCTTCAATAGATTCCTTACAATGTAATGGTGAAAACAACATGAATCTCTAAGATGAATATTGTGCTACATGGATACAGATGACTAGAGATAAGTGGTCCTGCAGATAGCCATACTTATGTCTAGTTTAATGAAGAGAAGGATGAGGGGGGACATGATAGCAGTGTTCCAATATCTCAGGGGCTGCCACAAAGAAGAGGGAGTCAAGCTATTTTCCAAGGCGCCTGAAGGCAGGACAAGAAGCAACGGATGGAAACTAATCAAGGAGAGAAGCAACTAGAACTAAAGAGAAACTTCCTGGCAGTTAGAACAATTAACCAGTGGAACAACCTGCCTCCAGAATGGTGAATGCTCCAACACTGGAAGTTTTTAAGAAGAGACTGGACAGCCATTTGTCTGAAATGGTGTAGGGTTTCCTGCCTGAGCAGGGGGTTGGACTAGATGACCTTCAAGGTCCCTTCCAACTTTATTATTATTATTATTATTATTATTATTATTATTATTATTATTATTATTATTATTATACCTTGGATAGCTTTAAACATGGTTACTAGTAACTTGAATTTGTACCCAGAAGCCAACTAATAACCAATGTTGCTTGAAAAGCAATGGGATGGAGCATGCATGATGCCCATCACTACCCATACTGTTGCTTTTTGAACCACCTGCAGCTTCTAGATTGGCCCCAATTAGAGAGTGTTACATTGTGAGGTGGCTAAGACCCAGATGAATGCATGAAGGGCCTCCCAATATAAGAAAGAGTACAACTGGGACATTAGGTGCCTTCCTGGCCACAGCTTCTATCTGTATATGTACCTGAGATTCCAGCAGGATCCCCAGATTGTACATAGATTGAATGGGAAGATGCAAACCCACTGAGATTCAGCAGTGAATACTAACAACTAGCAAAATATTGTTCCTGGAGATGATCCTAAGGCCTATCTCTCCTCCACTTTAAGACTGAATTGCCCTAAACAAGGTTTCCAGATGGCTACCAGCAGACACAATAAGAGTGAATTTCTGATTTTATCACCAAAATGTAATCCCTAATGTGGGTTGTTGCTTGTGCTTGGTTGGATCCTCTTGTCTTCTTCCAGGAATTTGTTCACATTGTCTTTTTCCAGGAATTTGTTCACATACTACATTTCTCAGAGCTCCTCAGAAAACTGAAGTGAATCTTACAATCAGAGAGGCTGATCAAGGTATTCTGGTCTAAAGCTCTGGCCTCATGCTAATCCCGACTGTAACCAGATGAACAACTTCAGTCTCAGCCGAACAGCCTACCAGACCCTCAACCCCCCCCCCAATACTTCCTCTGGAACCCAACATGATTGTACGGTCACCTGCTGTGGGAACTCTAAGGTCCTATCCCTTGTGGGTTGGGATGACAACAGAGAGCCGAAAAACAAACAGTAATATATTGCATTAATAGAAGTGCAATTTTTAAATCACAACAAGCAAATGTTCCACTTAATCTACTTTAATCAAATCCCTCCTAAGTACTTCACTGAGTTTCAAGCACTATACATCAGGAAGGCATAGATTCAAATAAATTGTATCATATTCCAAAAACACAATAAGGATTATTGAGAGTTTACGACCAGGAGAGCATGTTTAGCATTAGGAGAAGATGGCTAAATGGGAATATGATAGCATTCAATTACAACCGGTAGAAAAAATGTCACATAGAAAGTCATGTCTTCTCTCATTCTAGAGTGCAGAATCTAAAATGATGCATTTAATCACATATTTACTAAAATTAATGTTAAACAAACTTTCTAAAAGAAAAAGAAGTTTGGTCGTGGAATAAATACCACTCCTTCATTGAATGTGCTTTAAATGGAGACTGCATATCTACTTCCCTGAAATGCAGCATATTAGAAACATTAAATTAACCTATCAAAAGGACTCTTTCTTGCATATTTTAGAACAAAGAATAATCAGTATGATGCATCTGGACATACACATGTGCAAGGATTGTCTCATGATCCCTACCAAATTCCTTGCCTGTTCGGCCTGCATTTTAAAAGATTATTTTTAAATAAGCAAACAAACAACTAAATAAGCAACTGGCATTATGCTAAGTGTTGGTGAAAACTCATAGAACCATATGGCTGGAAGGGACCTTGAAGATCTTCTAGACCAATTCCCTGCCCATGGCAGACCTTATTACATCCCAGACAAATGTCCAATCTTTTATTGAAGACCTCCAAGGATGGAGCACTCACAGCTCTTGGAGGCAAGATGGTCCATTGATTAATTATTCTTACTATCAGGAAATTGGATTTCTCTCTAAGAAGCTTCCACCCATTACTTCTTGTCTTCGCCTCAGGTGCTATGAAGAATAAATCAATGCTTTCTGCCCTGTTGACAGCCCTTCATATATCAGAAGACAGCTATCATATCATCCTGAATCCTTCTATATACCTTGTTCCATTAACTGTATATTATTGGATTTATCCTCTAGACCCTTATCATCTTTGTTGCCCTTCTCTGCACTCTTTCTAGGATCGCAGCATCTTTTTTGTATCATGATAACCAGAATTGGATGCATTATTCCAAGTGTGGCCTCACTACACAGTATAGAGCAATACAATCACTTAGCCTTCTGTTGATGCAGCCTAGGACTGCATTGGCTTTTTGGCAGCTGTAGCACATTGCTTGCTGATACTTAATTGATGTCCCACTAGGATACCAAGATCCCTTTCACAGTAACTATTATTGAGCCAGGTACTGCCTATTTTATACCTGTGTATTTAGTTTTTCATGTCTAAGTGCAGAACCATGCTTCTCTTAGCACTGAATTACATCTGGTTGGATAGGGCCCAGTGCTCAAATCTGTCAAGAACCTTATGAATCACAAGTCTATCTTCCAAAATTCTCCAGAGCTTGGTATTGCCTGCAAATTTAATGAGTTCCCTTTTATTCCTTCGTCTAGGTAATTTATGAAGATGCTGAAAAGCACCGGGCCCAAGACAGAAGCTTGAGATACTCCTCAAAGAGTACATACTCACAGAGTATAGTATACACTTAAGTATACTACAGATAGCAAAGAAAACATACAGATGGATCATTGAGCAAATCAATCCAGAGGTATTACTCATGACCAGGCTTAAATTATCCTACTTCAGATATATTATGTGAAGACCTAGATTTCTTATTAAAGCTCTAATGCTGGGAACATGGAAGAAAAGAGAAGGGGTCCACCATTAGAAGACCGAAACAATAGTTTAGGAAAAAATCATCATGGAGAAAATCTACTTGTGTGGTCACTAAGAACTGGCAATGATTTGATGTCACAGTCAGTCATGGAACAAAGCACTAGTTTCCATGACTATAGGAGTTCCACTGGAAAATTTAGGAAATAGAACAGATAAGTGGCTGTTGCCCAGTTCTTTACTGGGATGGAATGGAATATTCTGAAATATACAAAGTAGGAGAGTAACCCCCTCCAGTTCCCTTCTTTGATTCATTGGAACTTTGATGAAATCAACCCTTTGAAATCAAATAAAGAAGTGGTATTCCACTCTGTCTCATGCATGCATACATAAATCTAAATGATGCTTTATTTATAACACAACCATTACGGCAACCAGCACACATGAGAATCTCAGATTTTAAATTCCATTCAGACTCATCAGCTCAAAAAGTTTCCTGCCTTCAACAGAGGGCAATCAAATTATATTTTATTTAGCTAGATGGTTGTTTTGGAAAGCTCACAGAGAGGAGGCCTGATTATGCTTCTGCTTGCAGAATATAAAATTTTAAAGCCCATAACAAAAGATGAACATCTCAAAATCAATTCCCAGACAGACCCAATAACCACAAAAGAACCACAGTGTAAATAAAGTACCCATTTCTCTCATACCACCAACACTGAAAGATGCCTAAAACCTTCTCATATGACAATGCAAAGAGAACTGGCAATGTTAAATGTCCCTGGCAGCATTGAAACTTACCACAGGATCCATCACCCTAGCTGTGCTTTGTAAACTATTATTTCTCAGGATTTGAAAGTATATCTCTAACATTCTAATTTCACAAAGGCATTATAATATTTATTTTTCCCTCAAATGCCTTTGTAGTGTAAATACATGGGAAAACAGTTCAAAAGGCACGTTAATGAAGGCTACAATTGTGACAAATAGCCTGAAAGCCACAAAGAAAATAGCAAACTGGAAAATGGAAAGTTAGGTATCATAACAAAAAGTAAATGATTGTTTTGTCTTTAAAGAGAAAATATTGGAAGATTAGTCCCCTACTTAGAAGTGGAATAAAGTTAACTAAGCTAGGTGGTTGGTAGAAGTAAAAAAAAATGATTTGTTGATAGATCATCATATAGAAGATATGGATTTCATTCAAATAATTATTGAATTTGCAAAATATGAACATATTTCAAAATATTTCAAATTTATTTAGGTTGGAAACAAAGCTGATATTTTTGCAAGTTTACACTTTATCCTCTGTATGTATAAATCTGCAAGTGCATCCATTAGCAAAGAACATAACCAAAATACTGTTTCTTCACACCCATTTTGTCTACCGGTTAAGGCACTGGGTTAGAAACCAGGGAACCGTGAGTCTTAGTTCCACTTTAAACATGAAAGTCGGTCGGAAGACTTTGGGCCAGTTGCTCTCTCACTCCAACTCACCTCACAGGGTTGTTGTGGGGAAAATAGAAGGAAGAAGGAATATTAAGTATGATCACAGCCTTGAGTTGTTTATAAAAATAACAAAGACATGATAAAAGTATCTAAATCAAAAGCTAAAAGCTATTGTTAAAATGTTACGTGAGAAAAGATTTGAATTCCAGTAACATCACAATAAAATCCATGACAAAATTTCCAGTGAACTTAACAGGTCTGGATTAACTAATAGGGAGATATTGATTGACCCTACAATGACTGAATTGTTTGTAAGAATAGTGTTATGTATAAATGTTTTTTGATATCTGCTGCTGTATAACTTCTGAATACTACAATATGAAGCTAAAAGAACAGGAATTAAATCGTGTATCAGAAAAAGAACTGGTGTGAGAGGACTGTAAATATACAAATATTTCATTGTTGTGGCACACAGATTCTTATACAAAGCAGTATTCAGTCAAGGTTCTGTATGGGAATTAGATAGCAGGATGAGCAAGAGGACCTTCCAAATGGAGCAAATTTAGCTTAGTACAGTTTGAAGTAAAGTATGTCACATTAAAGTCCAAAAGTTCTTCTTTGATACATAGAACCATTGTTTTTAGAGTTGGGTTCCCTAAGATTATTAGGACCATTAACTAACCATATCACCATCTCCTGTATTTCCACCAGCTTAGCCCCAGGACTATTGAATAAATGGCCAATCTTGTGTTACATGTGCTTCGAAATTCATGTTTAAAATCCAGAAGGCACTTCAAAACAAATTCCAAAATGGTACTGCCTAATTTTTTTTAAAAAAAGGTAGGGCCTAATTAAGACATTGCTCTACTATACATTTTTTTAAAATGGTAATTCAGAAATCCTTGAAATAGGAAATATAGTAGCTCCAAATCTGGCACTAATCACAAACACTGCATTCACTGCAGGCTTCTTTCCAAGAACAAAGACTGAAATGCTCACAAATCCAAGAGAAAATGTATCTTTTCAAGTTTGTAACAAGAACTAATTTGTAATCAAGAAACACACTCTAATAGGATAATATCACCAAATGGCTTCTTCATAAGATTGATAATGATTTCAAAGACAAATAGAGCAGCATCTAAACATTTGCATGCTTTTGTGTAAGGGCTACATTGCTGGACAGGACCAAGTCATGTGAATTAAAACATCCTCTTGATACTTTCAAATGTACAACAGATAACTGTTGTTCAAATGACCTTTTGGTAAACTTGGATAGCTTCCACTTCTTGCAGGATTTTTGTTTAAGGATAGTTTATGCATTAACTTTTCAGAATCTGTTTTCAGAACCTTCATATCCTGGGTGAAAATAAATGTCATTCTGTGAGCCAACATGGTAATAGATTTGACTTTCCTAAACACAGCTGTAGAGATTCTAATATGGTCCAGGACTCAGTTCACTTCTAAGGAGATAAAGACTGAAAAATCAGATCTTAATATCTAGGATTTTAACTACTCTTCCATGAACCACTCTTCCATTCTTCCATGAATCAAAGTGTAATTTTCTACTACTTTAACCCACTTTCCCCTCTTCATTTGGGTTCTTTTATCATATACAGTTAGAAACGAAAAAAGTCAAGTTTTGCTTCTAGAGTCTAGCTAACAACCAGATACTTAATGGTTGCCAACAATCAGTCATTTGGAGCAGTTCTTTATGGATAAGATAATAATAGCTCTCTTTTCCTTTGAAAGGAGATTCACAGCCTAGAAGCTTACCAAGCAGTAGTTGAACCCAAATGCTTCTTGATGCATGCATTTCCAGAGAAAGTATAGTAATTTATTTCTCACATGCCATTCACATTTTGATCACTGACTTTTTCCCTCAGGAAAGCATAAAACAGATTAATCCAACAAATGCCTCAAAACATACTAAGGAATGTTGGACCCTTTTAAGCCTCATAATGCCTCAAATGGTATTTTGATTCTGTTCTTAGAGCTTGAAATGGGCGAAGGAAATCTTACATTACGTATAATAGATAGTTAGATTCTTATCTGATTTGTTTCAATCTATGACAATCATTTCTTCTTGATGTCTGGTGCTTGATCAATACTAATTAATTTATTGTGAGTCTAACTGAAGCATGTTTACATGGTGTGTTAGAAGCAAAGTATACAATCTTACTTATGCAGTAGTTATTGAACTATTTATTTAATAGGGTAGGGAGGTTCCACAAAGCATACAAACCATAAGAGTCAGCATAACTTATGAAGAATCATGATTTTAACAGCCCCACTGTCTAATGCTTAATTGTTAAGAGATAGGAATTGGACGGGATTTTCATGTTTCTTCTGGTTGCTGGAATTCTGGGAACTGCTACAATCCTGCTTTTCCATAAGGATGGCAGATCCTGCTAAGAGAGGTTTAAGAGTCAAATGGGGAGGAGAATGTGCTGGATTGTATTTTCAGGAACATCTTGATTAAAATTAAGTAAGCTTCATCCTGTCTATCTGGTCCAATTAGAAATCTTGCTATAAGCATATTGTTTTTTTCTATCTACCTTTCACAGAGATTAATAGAATAGCCACTTTTGTTACCAATTTTATAAAACTATTGCAAAGCATCTGCATTGCTTTTATTGATATTACACATTAAGATATGTATCTCAAGGAGCATACATTTCTGTTTGCAATGGATACATGAGCTCAAACAAGAAAGATCCTCAATAGCAGGGATTCGCCAGACTGCAGGAATAGGCTTAATCTGCACATTCTGCACAATATATCAAATTACAACCAGCTTCAATGCCAGCTGAATTTCACATTATGACTTTGTAGGATATTTGGGGCTTTCTCTTATAAACATCTTGGCTGAACCAATCGGGGAAAAAATATCAGCAGATTCCAAACCTAACCACAAGCCATTCAAGGGTTAAAAATAATTAACACATTGAGCCTCTTCATTATTACTAGTGTCCTATGTTATCAGTAGAAGACAACACAATGAAAACAAATAACAGGATGGGTTAGAAGATGCACAAAGTAAAACTGAATAAAACAGTAGCTAAGAGAATAGTAAACCGAACTCATCAAATGTCTTTAATAATGACAATGGGAAAAATTATGAAAAAGCAGAAAAAATATATTCTTTCTAGTATCATCTAAAATTAATATTTTAAATGTGTCATGGAGAACCACATCATATTAATATTCCATTTACACAAGCCTTTTCATTCATTAATAGTCTGTTACTAAATATCACTTTCAAAATGAAGCTTGAGTTTTAAATACAGCAATGTATACCTTGAGTGATCAGGATAGCTTTATTTATTTTACACTAAGTAGTCAGATTCAGCAACTTCATCAAAGGACTTTTTTTTGTTCATTCTCCTGATCAAGTGTCAAGTTAATCTATCTACATTAAGTTCCCTTCATTCTAGTGATGGTGGATGGTAACAAAAAAGGCAGAGAAAAGAAATACAAACCTAAATCTAAGGCAAATAGTCAGGCTTTCAAGGCTTTTTGAAATGTCCTCAGGGTGGGAATTGTATAGATCTCAGGGGAGAACCCCATTTCTGCTGCTGCAACAGAAAAGTCACCCTTCTTGGATTCCCAAAGATGACGCTGTTTACTTGAGGGTGTCAGAAACAGGCCTACTTTGCCCACATAACAGAATTACAGAAGAAAAATAATTCTTCAGGGAGCCAGGTCCTTTGTCATATTAGGTGAGTGATCTCTTCACCAGTTACTGAAGATCAGTCAGAGAACTCTGGATAGAAACCATCTCATGTAAGATCCTGCATAACTTGGTTTATGGTTCTGTTTGTATAAGTTTTTAAAGTATATTCCCATATCCCAGCAAAAGAAGATTTATTCTTTCTGATAGTCTTGCTGCTGACTGACTCCCTTAGATGGGAAAAAGTAGATGCAGCACTGGAGGATGGCTATTTGACTTTGTTTTATCATGTCATGATAAGACTGTAGTGAGCCAACAGTTGATGGTAGCTCAACTGATGGCTTCTATTCAATGGGAACAAATGTGCAGGTACAGCCTTTTACCAAGAAATATCACCTTCAGTTGACAGTCCAGCTGAAGTAATGAGGCTGTCTGGTTTTTCAGAAGGAAGTTCTTTTTTCACCTATGTTGATTCTTTTTTTGTCATTCCATTGCTGATTTCATTCGTTTAAGCCAGTGGTTCTCAACCTGTGGGTCGGGACCCCATTTGGGGTCGAATGACCATTTCACGGGGGTCACCAAACCACGCTGTCTGCCATTTTTTTCCCTTTTCCCTAGCTGTCCTACTCCCTCTTATTGGTGGCCACACCCACTTGGGGTCACCACAACATGGGGAACTATATTATGGGGTCACGGCATTAGAAAGGTTGAGAACCACTGGTTTAAGCTATTTATGGCACTTATGATTTGGATTATATTAATATTCTATAGTTCTATAGTAAGTGGTTTTATGTGCTGTTGACAACAAAACAGATAAAAATTAGAGTACTAGTAAGAGAAGACAAACATTGAAGTTATAAGTGTGAATTTGTGCCTGAGAAAGTCTTTAAGCTGGAAATCCCCATTTTAGTCTTCACAAATCATTAATCCATTTTCAGGCATGACTATGACAGACAGATTTGTTAAATGTATGGACAACATGAAGATTGCAAAGTCTGGAAATTTTTTCTGTCTCTCTCTCTCTTACTCTTCTTTTTGGAAGCTGTAGCACAACAGGATATGTGGAAATGAAATGCATGTAATGAAAAACAGAGGTTTTCATATAGTTAAAAATGCACTAGCTTAACTGCCATATATAGAAACATTCTTTTTCAACTTAATATCATCTTAGGACTACAACACCTACACATTAAGTTTTAAAAATATAAAAATAGAAATATTAGAGAACTCTACCAACAACTACAGTCTATACCACATTGTTTAAAGGGTTTCTTTTTGATGCTCCTAAAACCAGATGTTTCAGTTTAATTATAAATCTATTCACTATTTGTTTTTTGCAAATATGAAGAATGGAAAAAGATTAACTTCCTGATATTAATTTTTTTTATATTTCATCAAAATATTGTCCTTACTCATAGATAAAAATGAATGATTCTTAAAAGAAAGAAGAATTCTGTAGACATGAGAGATTCTGGCTCTGAATCAATGCATTTTAACAGTGAGTAGAAAGGTAGCCAGACTGAGCATCTGCTTAAAATGAAAATATTTTTGCATTTTCCTTTCAGATACAGCAACAAATCATCAGTGGTTACAGAAGCTGTTAAAACTTCCTGCAATTTTCCAAGGCAGATTGACAAGTGACCAAAACAGCACATCTGGAGGCATATCATTTATCATCAGTATTACTAGCTCCAGTGCTCCTGAGAACAATGCCAGTGTACAGCTCCAGAACTCCTTCAGAATTGTGCAATCTATTCATGTCTTCCCTATTCACATTTCTCATAATTTCTCCCTCTACTGCTCTTAAGCTTTTCAGGTATCCCTGATACTTTTTCCCCCCTTGCTCCAAGTGAAAAACATTTATTTTGCTTGGAGATAACCCTAACTTAGAGTTTCTTGCTCAGTATCAGAAGGGTGGTGTCAACCATATTCATGGGTTAATTAGAGTCCATGGAACCAGAACTGAACTCGGAGAATATTTTCCTGATTAGTTTTGGTACTCCTAGATGTTATTTATTCCTGGGGCAATTGTGTTAAATATAATGTGGAATTAAGGCCTTGCATTTTTAGTACTTCATCTGGGGGCAGGGTGGAACCAGATACATTAAAAAAAACAATATAAAATTGCTATGATTATGTGACTTAAATTATACTTGTTTTTACATACCTTGCATGCATAAAAAAACAGGCAGACCTGACATTACACAGTCATGGCCACTATCTTCATTTTTTTTTTAATCAGATACTGCAGACACCCCTAGATCCATCTTTACAGCAACTTCAATATTCGTGATTAATGCAGGTTTCTATATATCTATCATTGAGATAGGCATCATTTTATTACATTATATTAGAGGCTTGCAAACATTCCCTTTCTTCAAACCACTATATAATTATCAAAGGCTTTTAAGAATGACCACATATGCAGGGTCAGCACTGGGATACTTCCAGGCACCACCAGGCATTTCTGTACAACTTCAAATACCTACCAAGACTCCCAAATAAAATTAAAATAATATTTATAGATTGTTTTAATATAATCTACCCACACACCCATCACACACCAGATTTTGGCATAAATATACAGTAGGTATCCTTTTGGTGGTGCAATGCTAGAGAAAGAGGCAAAAATGAATGTAATTTTCATGGAAATTAAAGACTTAAATAAAATTTATCAACTAAATACTCATAGAATTTAATACAAAAAGCTGGAATACTTGTACTATTCCACATAGACATTCCCAAAAGATTCACTCTTTTCTTTTATTTCATGCCTTTAATTTGTTTTGCTTTCTATTTCTGACTTCTTTTCTGCACATTATTTTTCTACACATTATTTTGTGTAATGTTGCTTATGGAAAAGAGAATATTGTGAGGATGAAGATGTCAACAGTGACAGCAAAGTAGAGATTGACAAGGGAAGTGAATGGGAGACATATATTTCCCTTTTCTTTTTGCTCCCCTTTCTTTCAGTCCAATTTATTCCTCAACCAGGGAAACAGCTTGTGAAAGAACACAGGCACAGTAAAGAAACAGAAAGATTGCCACAGATGCTTTTGCTAAGAAATGTAGCAAGGAAAGGTCCAAAAACATGGAGAGCAAGGTAGGCATCACCATGACCTGCAAAATGTGTACAATGTTTGTCTGCTCTTAAAAGGAGCCAACTATAACTGCTTCAAATGTAGGATAGTCCTTTCTTTTCTTCATTGAGAAAGCATGAAGTGCTGCATTGAAATGAATCCAGAAAAGACAAGAGTGTTGTGGAGAAGACAGCCAACCTCTGCAAGAAGACAGAGAAGTGAAGAGAATTCCAATCTTTCTCCTCTCCTTCAGCAAAGACAAGCAGGAAGATAAGAGTCAATTGTTAACAGTGGAACTCAGGAACCAGAATCTCCTTCTATGCCCTCCAGATTTTGTTGGGTTCACTTACAGAAAAGACATATTTATCATGATTACAAATAGAAGTTAAAAAGCAGTATCCTGTTTAGGAAAATATTAAAAACTGTTGTTAAGCAACATAGAAGATCATCTAATATCTTTTCTCAAGTAGTTTTAAAAAAAGAATGCTTTTTATTCACTAGTTTTTGAAAAGCTGTTTTGTCTGTAACAATTATCAGGATACATCTTCATAATGTCCCTGTCCTTCTCCAACTATATGTGAAAAGGATGCAAACAAGACAAGTTAGTTTTTATTTTCCCAAATTAGCATTCCTTAAAACGTATATACTGAAAACCAAAAATCCATCTAGCATTCAGATGTCTGCAGTGCATATCAAAAACTGAATTCTTTAGGACTTGGATAATTTGAAAGATTCACTGCCAGCTGTTGCGGTAAGGGCAGCTAATTTGCATGGCTTTAAAAGGGGACCGGACAGATCCTTCCAGGATGAGGCTATCAATATTGATAAAACTAACTTCTGAACACTAGGCAGAATGGCTTAATATTAATTGCAGGGAAGCAACAGTAGAAAGAGGCTATTATTTTTTACTCCAAGCTTCCTAAAAGCAACCAGTTGGCCACTGTTTTGGCAATGACTGCTGGAATTTATGCCTATAGTTTAGTTAATTTAAGAGTCTTTGAGGATCCCATGTTCAATCTGGGACAAATTACTTCAAAAGTGCTAATAAGACCTGTGGCTGAGAATATAAAATTCATTATAACCAGGGCTTTTTTTTCTCATAGAACGCCCAGAATGTTCCGGCACCTTTTTTTTTTTTTTTTAGAAAAAAAACACTGATTATAACTAAGTCAGTTTTTCTCAAACTGGTGACTGTCAATGCATTAGCATATAGCCTCAGCTAGTACATGCATGGTACATGCGATATTAGACTAATTGCAGCACTAACCTGATGGAAATGTAATAAACTAATAACAATAAGAGTTGGTGACTTTTCAATCTATGATATTGCTTTGATTCCTTATTGGCGCTATCCTTTCACTATATAAACATTTCTCTGGTGATCTGTAGTCTTCTTGGCTTCATATACACTGTAATGCAATCCCAAGGAAGCACAAAAGCTGAGGGAGCTTTTTCAGATCTAGAAGCTCTGGAAGTCTGTACAGCAGTGTTTTTCAAACTTGGCAACTTTAAGATGTATGAACGTCATGCTGGCTGGAGAATTCTGGAAGTTGAAATCCACACATTTTAAATTGCCAAATTTGAAAATCACTGATGTAGAACAATGAAAAGCATGTAAGAAAACGACCACAGTGGCTTCTATTATAGTGCAACAATAAAGTAGAATCAAAATCATGCATAAAACAAATTCTATAAATAACATCGGGTGGCGAATGAAACTTCTTTAGCAGGAAGCAATCCCTTTGGGAAACAAAAAGACAAATTTTGGCCCAGTTGGAACAACTTTTCTACAGAACTTAAAAGCCATTTGGTGGGGCTCAGAGTTGTTGATTGAGGCACAATTTCTGTGTTTGAGTGTGTCAGAACTCACTGAGTGGATCCAGTAATATTTGCCTACCTATTTACATGGGGCACTTAGCATACATTATAAAATAAAATGAATGCTGATTGCTTGTATGAAGAAAAGCTTCAGCTCCTGAGCCAGGAATATCAAAAAAGCATTCATGGGTCTCAAATGCAAAGCAAGCTGGTCACTTCTTTTCTTCTGTACAGGGAAGGGGGGAGGGCTTTCTAAACTAATAACAGAATATTAGAAGAGCATCAAGACAAGTCAATGTGATACTGTACTTAAACAGCAAATTCTAATAACAACAGCTCAGTGCCAATTTAATTACAGCATTTTATGTTTGGCTGCTTTTTTTAATCAAGCTTCTAATTTCACTTCTAATATCCTTTTTTCATCTTTCTGTTTTATTTGTCTGCAGTTCCTCTTAATAGCTCTTCTTTCTAGCATCAGCTGTAACATTAGCTTTTCTTTCTAGCATTATCTTTAAGTCAGTTCGCAATGTCATCTAGTATCTTTCCCTTTATTGGTCTCTTTTTCAAATACTGTTTTTTTCTGGAATATTCATACCTATTCACATTTATGACATCAGTACCTAAAATTACATACCAACTTCCAAAGAAAACAGCAGTCTATTAACAATGACCCAGAAAAATGTCCTAGTTCTAATGGATGTTGAAATATAGTTTTCTTCAATATCATATTCTACCTTTTTGTATTCACACAGTGTTGTAGATTCCAATATCCTCAGTGCTTTACTTCCTCTTTCCCAGATGTTTCTATCTGGGATATATTGGTGAAATCTTTATATACATAGGCTTCAACTTCACTCTATTAACCACCAGATTTTGCACTGTCCATGCACCATACTTATTTTCTGGACAACTCTAATTTAATGGGAGCATAATTTCCTCTCATAATATTGGTAGGATAATAGGGTTACAAATAGCTGTTCAGTTTAAATAACTATTTATTAGCAAAAAAGAAAGCATAGAAGAGAGATATAACCATAAAAGCCAATTGAACCTGGCTCCTGATACAAATCTTCTCATATATACTCTGCAGTGGTAACATTATTATGATACCTAGTGATTATCACTTAGAACATTAATGGTTCATACACCTGTTAATCTTGTGATATGACATAAAGTATACTTTAAAGTTGGTGCCTAAAAAGGAGACATATATTTTGCATCAATATAGACCAACCACTCATGCCATCCAATGTGGGGTGTACACGGCAAGGGGACCCCCTGGGGCCACTCAGAGATCGGAACAAAATCCTGTTTGCTCAGGAAGTCGTTTATGGAGCTTGGGAGTCCTGAAAGGCCAGTTCTAGTGTTTATGGTCAAAGCTGAATGACTGTCTCATATCAAAAATGACCAAAGCATGCTGACGAAGACAGAAAAACTGTTCCTTGCATATCGGAACCAAATGAGATTGGGAAGAAACTGACGTCAAAGGTTCAGGTTCCAAGTTTGAATCCCGCAGGTGTCATGAGATCAAGTCCACTCAAGTGAAGAAGCCACCACAGGTTCAAGAGTGCTGACTTACTGTCAGCTGCCCTCTGCCAGCTGCTGATAAACTCCAAACACAGAAGGAACAGGTGACCAGCAAACTTTAATGCAAAAGGAAAGTCAGCACTGGGAGTGAATTGCTCCCAGTGCTTTACATAGTTGTGCTCCACCCACCAACCTCACCCCACTTAGCAAGCCAGCATCTGGTCTGTATGGATAATAGGCATAGTGCACCACCCTTTCCCCCCCTCCAGACACACCCACGGAGCCTCTGCCATCCCAGCCATTTGTTCTGATAACGAGGCAGCTGGAGGAAAGGAGACGCAGCCAAGGTAAGGCACAATCCCTCCCTCGTCCTGCTTATCTAGTCCCTTGTCCAGCTGGTAGGAAGAGTGTTCCTGGCTTCTGTCTCCTCTGAGGACAGCACCCGCAGTGTCTGGCTGCATGCTCCCCATCTCCTGGCCCATGGCAAGCCCAGGGACTTGACACAAGCTTCAGTATTTCTTAATAATTGATATTAAGATAGTCAATTTTAAACAAAGAATCAGTGATACATTATAATACAAAATAAACTTCATACTTCTAAACAATCATATATGTAATCAAACTATATCAAAGACTTAATAATAAATGTATATGTTATAGAATAAGTGGGACCGACAAAGAAGACATTGTAGATACACTTTCTTCCACTACTACATGTTTGGGGATGAGCAAGAAATATGTTGGTCACCATTTTCACTGGATAGTCAAGAAAGGAGAACTTGGGCCCAGATCTAAACAGCTCGAGATGAGGCAGTGTATGAGCCAAAGATATAAAGCTGCACTGGTACTTAGAGGAGCATGAGGACCTAAGTGTGGTTTGCATACTGGCATTAATCAAATCTAGTAGTATATAGGAAAAAGGGAGTTGAGACATGTATTTTATAGCTCTGGCCATAGCTGAATTATGTGTTAGCCTTGATAAAAGTGGGTTGATAGTAAAGAAAGCTAATCTGGTTCTAGGTAAGAGACTGGGTACATGGTCGGAGATTTGCCCTCTGCAATGAGAGAACAGATGTGTAGGAGCTCCCCTCACAATAGTTGTGCTTAATAAAAACAAGTATTTCTGTAAGAGGAGTCCAAAGCTGAACTTTAGGGCAGTGTATCAATTAAGAAGTTCTGCAATGCTTGGGGATTTTCATAGAAAATGTGGGAACTGGGCAGTTCCATCAATTGTCTGGTGGAAACAGGAGATGACCAGGACATTGGAATCCAGTGCAGCCTTTCTTCAGTCAGCAATCCCATGTGCTTCTTGATTTACTGAGGAACTCTGTGAAATGTAGCAAGTGAAGAGATGTCTAGAGTGACAGTGGTGATAAATAATGAATATGACTATTCACAGGTACGAAGTCAAATCCAGCTTGTGATAATTACTGTGGTAAAATACACTTCTTCATGCCTATTATATGAATAGATTCTCATCAAATGGCTCTGTTCATGATATCTTAGGAAAGAGTGGGAGTGAGTGAGGAATCAGTTGTATGGCACATTGAAGTGATATGGCTGCTAGATCCCCTGTGGACAAAATTGCTCATCTTTGCTCAGAGTAATATGTCACATGGATAGGATCCAATATGATGGCTTGATTAATATTCTGCAGAGTTATTTGGGATTTGTTTAACTTTATGGAACCTGAGGCAGAAGACAGGATTCTCTATGATATGGCTTATGAATTACATGGACGTACCCAATGGTCCATTTATTATTTTTATTTTTGTCTAATGTGTGCATACTATCCCAAAAATTTTCACAGTAAGCAGCAATATTATACAGAGCAAAGAAAACACAAAAGAAATAATAATTGTGTGAGATAAAAATCTAGTTTACATCAACACTATGCATAACACCTTTCTACCCTTAACCAATGTCATTGATTCCAACCTTAACCAATGTCATTGATTCCAACATGTCATA